TGTGGACAACTTTGATCATTCCCATTGCACGGGGTTTTGTTGTGGAATAGTGAACTTCATATGGATTCACTTCTAATGTGCTTGGCATGTAAAAAATAAACACTCAATAAAAAGTAAAAAAAAAAAAGAAAAGAAAAAAAAGAAAAGTGAATAAACCAAGAGATGATCCATATTCACGAATAGAAAGGTTCAATATTGTCAAGATACTAGCTCTTCCCAACTTGAATTATAGATCAATCCCAACCAAGACACCAGAAAAATCATGCTGTGGGAATTGACAAGCTGATTTCTAAATTTTATATTTTACCCAAAATAGCCAACACAATATTGAAAGAAAAGAAAAAGAGGATTGACACTACCCAACTTACTATAAAGCTACAGTAATCAACAGAGTATGGTATTAGCCAAGAATAGAAAAATAAATCGGGCTGGGGAGATGGCTCAGTGGAATAAGCGCTTCCCTGGCAAGCACAAGGGCCTGAGTTCAATCCCGGGTTCCACCAAAAAAAAAAAAAAAAGAAAAGAAAAAGAAAAAAGAAAAATAAATAGATGGAACAGAATAGAGAGTTAGAAAAAGAACCACACAAATATAGTCAACTGATCCTTAACGAAAGAGCAAAGGCAACCAAGTGGAATTTAGCAGCAGTTCTTTTCACAAACGCCAACTGAACAAATGAATATGCATAAGCAAAAGGGGCAAATCACACAGACCTTATACCCTTCATGCCAGTAAATAAAGACATAAAGAATCCACCCACTCCAACGGAACCACAGGCTTGAATTTAAAATGCAAAACTATATAGGTAGGAGTCAGATGGGAAATCTTGCTTTCCTCTCAATTTTGCTGTAAACCTAAAACTGCTCTAAAACATGTCTTTAATTTTAAGAAAAATAAAAATTGATGAATGGACAGTGGTCCAGTTCTAGTATAGCAGATTCCTCACCTAGGCTTCAGTTAAAAAAAAAAAAAAAAAAAAAAAAAAAAGACTAATAAAATCATACTTTTTAGAAAAGCCAATTTAAAGTCTTAAAAACTGACCTAAATTCCTACATCAAATGAAGAGCCATTCACTGAAAAACATTTACTAAATCCTGGCACGCACAGGAGGAGTTTGAGGAACTTAAACTTCTTTTTCTTTTTTCTTTTTCTTTTTCTTTTTTTTATTTTATATTGTAGGGAAGGGTCCACAGGGTGTTCTGGGTCTCACTACTAGATAGACTCGTAGTGATCCGCCTCTTCACAGCCTCCCAAGAGCTGGGATGACAGGTGCGCATCACCCCCCCCCAGTCTCAACTGCCGCTCAGCGCGCCCTGGCGGCGGCACCAGCCAGCAGGCCTGGAGATGGAACCCCAGCCCCTGAGCCTGCTTGCGGGTGCTTTAATCCGCTGAGCTAAGAGGGGACACAAATGAGGGACCATTTTGTGTCTGTATACACAAAATAGGATAGATATACAGCTACTTTCTCTTAATTCAATGAGAAGATTTGTACTAATAGTGTTTAGACAGGATATCATGTCTGCATCTTGTACTATGAATAACCACTATGAAGACAACAATATGCGATGTATTAATTATTGAAACTGTCCTGCTAATCGGTTTTGAAACTGTCTCACTGATATTTGCTTCTCAATAAAATTAATTTTAAAGAATAAATTAAAATATTCCCACCAAAAGAGAGAGAGAGAGAGAGAGAGAGAGAGAGAGAGAGAGAGACATTTAAACTTCGAGGCACCCCTGCCCTTCACCCCAGTTCAAGGGGAGAAAGCTCTGCTCAGAGAAAGGCAGTCCCCGCAGCTCCCCCTCAAGGGTGATAGCAGGGGCAGGCGAGGGCACCAGCAGTGCCCATCCACCTTCCTCGGAGTTGTGGTGCATAAATTCCAAGCAAGGGCAGTCACAAGGTTGGGAGCCCCTCTTCCTTCCCCTAACCACAGGGCCAAGGCGCTTCCTCCTCAGGTTCAGCAGAAGGGAGCAGCCCTGTTACCTCTGCCCCGCCTCCTTCACAGGGCCCAGGGCTTCTAGCAAAGTTGGCCAGCTGAAAAGTCTCAGGGTCACAGTCTCCGCAGCACGGGACCCAACTGTGTCACTGTAGGAGCAGAACCGGAAGTCCTGGCCAGTGGCTCTGACACCCCCCAACCCCCACCCCACCCCACCCCCGCCCCAGGAGGCTGCCACCAAACAGGGAACTCTGAAGCCTGTCAAGCAAACAGTCTTGCTTGGCACAGCATGCAGGCGAGTCCACAGCTGCCCAGGCAGCGCAGCTTTGGGGTGGTGAGCTGCTCGAAGGAAGTCAGGAGCTTGACAATAGCAACAAGCCCAGCCAGGCCCGCTGGATTACCTGAGAGAGGCTGGCACTGGAGGGCAGGGAGGAGCCTCCTGTGGTGAAAATGAAAGAGGAAGAAAGGGAAAGGCAAAGAGCAGGAGGAATGTTACAGCTACAAGTGGCAGCTGGGATCCACACTTAATTTCTCTCTCAAAACTCACTGGACTTTTAAGGCACAAAGCTGACAGGATGACAGCAGGCCACCGTGGAAGGCAGTTGGCAGAATGACTTTAAACTGTTCCACAGTAACAGGAAAGCTACATGGAACAGAACAAGGAATTCACAGTTATAGGGGAAAATTATGTTCATCCCAAAACGTGTGTCCAACTTTGGTCAGTTCTATACAGGGTCTCAATACGCAGTTGGGAGTTGTAGTGATCCTCCTGTCTCAGCCTCCCTAGTGCTGGATTAGGGGCTGGCACGGCAGGGTGCACTTATGCTGCCAAGCTATCATTGAAGCCCCCACCTTTGATCAACTCTGAGAGTAGAATGAAAGTATTTTAGTTTCGCAAGTTCTCAAAAATTAACTTTGATGTGTCCGTTTCTTAGGAAGCTACTGACCTCTTACTCCACAAAGTTGAATAAATCAAATAAGAAGGGCCAAGGATATAGCTCAATGGCACAGCCCCTGCCTGGCAAGCGCAAGGTCCTGAATTGATTCCCAATACAAGGAGAAAGGAAGAAAGGGAGGGAGGGAGGGAGGGCCTGTGACAAAGCAATAGGGGATCTAACCTAGCACAGGGGCAAAGAGAATGCCCAGGAAGGTGGTGAAGTGAGATTCTGGCCCTGTGTAGGGGGCCAAGAGGAAAAGCAAAGGCACCCTGAAGGATTTGGCAAAGGAAGTGATTTTTAAACTCTGGCCAGGAATCCGTCAACATAAAACAATGACTCTGCTTGACAGTAAATGAGAAAATAGTTTATTCTGAGTTAGGCATGAGTGACCATGGCCAGAGAACACAGATTCAAATTACCCTGAACAACACGCTGCACCAAGGAAGAGGTTACGTGAGCTTTTTGACAGGTTCTGGCCCAAGTATGAATTGCTGAATCATTATGGTGGTCATCTAAGATGGCTGAAGCCCTTAAAACCACAGCTTATCTTCCCTGAGACCACCTCCCCACTTCTTCACCAACTCAGCCCAGGGGACAGTTTCCCTTCACCCTTCCTGCTGCCTCAGGGAAGACCCCCAATCAGCTCCTCAGGTATATCTAAACATCCCCTCCAAAACCCACCCTTGGCAAAAGGTCATAAAAGCCTCAGCCTCCCTTTGTTCCAATCCAGAGAATTCCTCATCTTCTCCAGATTCTCTCCATGTCCTCAAAGATAATAAAGCCCCTTTCCATTTTTTCTTCTGCCTGTTTCTCTCTGCAAGGACGTTGAAACCTATCATTTTTATAGTCTCAAAACAAAAAGGCAGGAATCAACACATTTTACCCATTACACTGGCGGAGGTGCACAGAGGTGGAGCAGAGAATCTGTTCTGTAATTTTCAGATGTGGTTGCATTTTCAGCTTTGGGGTCAGTGGAGGCTAAGGTGGTCAGTCCTGGAGGTAGGTAGCCAGAGGTTTCTCTGACAGTGTCTAGAACGTTAGGTCAGATAAAAAAGTTAAGGTAAGTGGTCATTAAAGCACCTGAAATAAAGCCAGATAATTTTAGTTTCGACCCAATAGTCCATCTGTCCATCATTGTGAATTTTATTTTTTTATTAATTTTATTGAGAAACAAATAGCAATGAGACAGTTTCAAAATTGATTAATAGGACAGCTTCAATAATTAATACATCGCATATTGTTGTTTTCGTAGTGGTTGTTCATAGTGCAAGATGCAGACATGATATCATGTCCAAACACTATTAGTACAAATCTTTCTTCTCATTGAATTAAGAAAAAGTAGCTGTATATCTATCCTAATTATTTTGTATATACAGATACAAAATGGCCCTTCATTTGTATCCCCTTTTCTTGTTAAGTTTTGTCAGAGATGGGTATTCCATATTGGATTATTTTGCTGAATTCATCATTGTAAATTTTAAACAGTCAAACGGTCTATAGACTCTTTAAGACAGATCTTTACCACTGAACTTGATTCAGTTCACAAGGGCTTCTGATCTCAGAATAAAAGCTTTGTCCTGCTCTTACTGTGAAATCAATAAGCCACTACAACACGGGTCTCAGCACCCTAGTGCAAATGCTAAGAAGACAACGTTTGATGTCCAGAGAAGCCAGTCATTGTTACAAAGCTGGGTTTTGTTTCTGGCTTTGTTTTGTTTTGTTGGTGGCATTGGGGACTGAACCTAGGGCCTTTGCACTAATCTACATGCCCAAGCTTTTATTCTTTTATTTCAAAAACAGGGTTTTTTGTGTGTCTTTCAAATGCTTAGGCTAAGTTTACATTTGCAATCCTCTTGCCTCAGCCTCTCAGAGTGCTGGGATTATTGCAGGTGAGAGCCACCTAAACTCACTTCTGAACAGGGCAACCGGACTTGGAAATGGGCTAGCTGCTTCCCAGAGGG